GACAAGTACCATTCTCACCAAAACGAAACAACCAGTGAGCAGAGACTGAAGTAAGAATTACCTCGTTGTACAGAGAGTTCTTCAGAAAGTTGATTTACAATACTTAACCGAAATTTGGCGTAGCTTCTCCACCCAGAAGGCAATGATTTATAATCAGCCAGTTCTAAATACAAAGACAAGGAATGTACTTGTCTATCTCCCTTGGGAAAGGCGAGAAGACACCTGCAAGAAAACCCAAAGAAAAAGAATCAACAAACCATGGGACGGTACCACCTAAATCTTAATCGGCTATAAAAACGAGGTGCTCTTTTTACCATTTGTAGTCACCGATCACAACTGGATCAGAATAACACCTCTCAGAGTTTAAAGTGGAGAAATTCTTTATGAACCATGCGAGCTTCTTACTAACCGGCTTCGCCATTGATGAGATAAAGATTTCCTCGCAAATTGTAATCAAACTCAGAACCTGAAAACAGAAATACCCTATTGACTGATTATCACAAAACCCGTATACCAACGAAGAATCAAATGCACTATCGAGAAATAAAAGCTAAGCTTCAAATATGGACTCAGAGCCTCAGTAAATATCTTAACAAGAGATTTCAATAGTTACAACGCTCAAGAACTGTAATCAAAGACTAAAAGGATCAATGGATAAAGGATACACCTTCAGGGACCCGTAGAAAGAGAGAGACACAGACGTTGTTACTGCTTCCCTTAGCAATTATAAAAATCGAATAGCTGGTACAGAAAGAAGAGAAACCAGATGTATAAATACTTGGTAAAAGAGAATATGCTTACCTTTCAGGGTCAGCGAGGTAGTCATGTCTCTTTCGGGGATTTCTTCTTGCCACAGATAGAAATATACAGAAAATGCAGGAATCTCAAATTACGTAACCGGATGGGAAGCGCCTGACTCGTTGGTCATCATGACTTGATGCTGCATCATTACGAGTTAACAAACAGTCAGAGAAATGAATATCAAAGCGAATACTTTATCATCAAAGTTAGTCCTGATTATTTCCTTCAACAAAACCTACATACTCAATTCCAGTATTCTCTAGAAAAACAATATCTCAGAATTTGATACTTGACCAGGTTTCAATTTATTCTTTATTGAGGAGAGAGCGAAAGGTACAATTAGACAAAGTTGAATTTAACTTACGCAATTGGCAATGGAGTTCCGTCTTGTAGAGGGTTTCTCCCTGCAAGAAAGATGTATTAAGAGAAATGCATACATCTCCAGTAACGTACAAACACTAACACGAATAATTGTGAGTCACATTTGACTTGACCATGCCTTAATTTAACTTTCGCAATCGGCAATGGAGTTCCGTCTTGCAGAGTGTTTCTTCGTGCAAGAAAGATGTATTAAGAAAAATGCATACATCTCCAGTAAGGTACAAACACTAAGACGAACAATTGTGACTCATATATGACTTGATACACTCAAGAGGACATAAAACTTGTAAAAGTTTGTATCTTTAAATACCATTTCCAGGCGGCGAACACGAAGGGGAGGAGAGAGTAGCAAAACTCGTCTTGCAAAATTTCCAAAACCCAAAGTAAAATCTCTTATCCAATTGCTTGCCCATTAAAATACTTTGAAATGGAATCGCAATCGAAACTGAATGAGAGCACGGAAGATCAACTAAACCCTAGCAACTGAATTCGATTACCCAAACGGATCAATCGCACTCTCCAGTGAAACGCTCACTTACCGTGTGTGTGTGTGTCACAGTATTACTGTTTTAAATTAGGGTTTAAAGGAAAAGAGGAATTTGAAAACCAAACCAAATCAAAATTACAGCTGTCCCAAACCGACTGTGAACCTGG